GACAGATTCCTTATGCCCTCTAAATGCCAATTCTCGCTTTGAGAAATAAACATATTATATCTAAATTAATAGATGTTATATGTTTTTATCAAAGCAAGAATTGGCATTTAGAGGGCATAGGGAATCTATTGAATCTAATAACAGAGGTAATTATATTGAACTTGTTTATTTATTAATTATGTCAGATAAATAATCTATTAAAAATATATTTAAAGAATTAACTGATTGCCCCTGGAAGTCGGCTTTTTACAGAAATACAGCTTCCCTATCGTCAAATGTCACGCACGCCACTGATATTCAGGATATAGGCTACTTTCCATTTCCAAAATTATTCAATTTTATAAGCTTTCATAGAATTATATCATTTGTGAGTCTAAATAGCTTACACTTGGTTCTTATCAGGTATTAGGCATGAATAAGAAGTTTTGTCTGGAGGCCAGTGGATGTAAAGTAAACCAAGAAATTCAAATACAGTAGGGTAATGCTGTGGTCATTAAGGGGTGATAATGGACATCAGTGAAAACTGGTCAAATGAAATTTGATTGGTCAGTCTGTTATTTGAGCGAAATAAATGCAGTACTGAATGTGTGATTAATTCCATTTTTAACTATGTCAGGCTATCAGTGAGTCCTGTAGATAAATTTATGATTTTCTCAAGTGAAATCAAGTACCTCGACTTGAGTGTGTGTGTCTGTGTTTGTTTTAAACACAGATTTCAAAAGATTTTTTAATTATCAGAAATTGAAATAATAAACTTAAGCTAAAGTGTATCCAAAAGAATAATCTTTCTTTTCAGCATATATCATATTAATAAAACTAAAATGTATTTCTATAGCATATAAAAGATCAAAGATTATTAATAATAATCAAAATATTAATACATGTGCAAAACCATTTTTATCATAAGAAACAAATGAATTTCAATGCCTTCCAAATTCATAACAATCTTGGAATTTAACTCTTTAAGCCCATTTGTTTTGCTTCGAATGCCACTCAGAAATCCATAAAAAATTGATTGTTTCTATTAAATAATTATTTCCACTCAAACGCGGATCTGACATCCAAAAAAATTTCCGGGAAATAATTCCCCTTTAAAAAGTGTTTTTACAAAAAAAGTATATAAAAAAATAAAAATAATTTAAAATAAATGCTTTTATTTGAAAAATATAGCAGCAAGGATTATGTTTCATTTAACAAAGTGTGAAACGTCACACGTGCAGTCTACGTTGTTTACAAACTGGTTGACCTTGAGAACAGCTGGTGTCAGCTTTCCTGGGTAGTTCTCGTATGCCTCAGAGGAATATTGGTTTAAAGCAGGAGGGAAGTTAATTTACCATATCTGTTCAAATATAACACAATATTTTCGATTTTTATGCTATTAAATTACAAGGGGAATGAAAAAAAGGTATGGGAAAAAATTCTACTGAACAAAAAAACCTGCTGATGTCATAAAAAACATCCAATAGCTTTTTAAAACATTTTACCGAAATCAAATTGGTCAAATAGAAGTTTGGAACGATTTAATTAATTTGTTAAAAAAACTCCCATAAAAAAAATAGTGCAATTAATTACCTAATTAATAAATCGTCATAAAATATTTTTGTGGCAAAAATAATACATGAAATTTGCAGAGATCATAGATAACGATGTATATATGCTAACCCCTTCCGCCCATAACCAGAGATAACTCGGGCTGTGCGTGACGCTGCACAGTCCATATCCCGAGTTATCTCGGGCATAGGTTCTAAGGGCCTCAAAAAAGAGCCTTGACTTATAACTTTTCCAAAAATGTATGGATTAGATCACTATACCCTTCCATCAACTCCCGCTGGTATTTTGTGCCATCAGGGATATGCTCGTGAACATATGAGGGTCGTCCCAGAAGTACCCGACCTGACATATAGATGGCGGTAGTTTTTTAAAAAAATTATTGTGTTTGAAAGCATCAACCTTATAAAGCTTAAGTTTGAAGTTTGAAGATGCTACCTTGTTTAGTATTTGTTTGACAGCCATCAATAGTGAACAATCTCAGTGAATTTGTAAACATGGAAAAAATTGGTCATTGTTATGTGATACAATACTTTCATTTGAAAGGTTTCAGTCCAACCAATATTAAAGCTGAGCTAGATTCTACTCTAGGGAAATCTGCTCCCTCGTTTACAACAATAAAATATTGGATGGCAGAGTTTAAACGAGACCGTACGAGCTGCCAAGATGAGCATTGTAGTGGTCAACCAAGTGAGGTGACCATGCCAGAAATGGTGAAAAAAATCCACAAAATGGTATTGGATGATAGTCGACTCAAAGTGCAAATGCTAGCAGACATGGTAGGCATTTCGAAAAGTGCTGTATATCACATTTTGACAGAAAATTTGGACATGAGAAAGCTGTGCGCAAGATGGGTGCCGCGTTTGCTCACAACGGAACAAAAACAGCGTCATGAGGAAGTTTCAATCGAGTGTTTGGAGATGTTTTGCAGCAACAAAGCCGAGTTTTTGCATTGATTCATAACTATGGATGAAACATAAGTCCATCACTTCACACCTGAGACGAAAGAACAATTGAAACAATGGACTGAAAGGGGAGAATCAGCTCCAAAGAAGGTGACAACACTTCCATCTGCTGGCAAAGTCTTGGCGTCAGTTGTTTGGGATGTGCGTGGGATAATTTTCATTGATTATCTTCTAAAAGGAAAAACAATCAACAGCGGGTATTATTCGAACTTATTGCAACGCTTGAGTGATGAAATTAAGAAAAAACGGCCCATTTGGCAAAAAAGAGTGTTGTTTCATCAAGACAATGCACCAGTTCACAGATCCGTTATTTCGATGACTAAAATCAATGAGTTAAGGTTAAAATTGATTCCTCACGCACCCTATTCGCCAGATTTAGCCCCCTCGGATTATTTTCTTTTTCCAAACTTGAAAAAATGGCTCGGTGGTAAAAGATTTGCCAACAATGAAGAGGTGGAGTCTGAGGTTGATGGCTATTTTGAGAAGCTTGACAGTTCTCATTATAAACAGGGTATCGAAGCTATTGAACATCGCTGGGAAAAGTGTATCGAGCTAAAAGGAGACTATGTTGAAAAATAACGATTTGTTTTTCCAAATTTTTTGTGTCTTATTTTTTAGGTCGGGTACTTATGGGACTACCCTCGTAGTACAAGATAACATATTCCAACAGCACATCCTGGGCACATTTGCTCTGTCACAACTCCTTCTTTAGATTCAATGGATTAACTTATGAACAGGAACAAGGAGTACCAATCAGAAGCCCCATTGCAGGGGATCTGTGTGAGATAGTGATGAGGAAACTGGAATCTGAATTTATACCAAAACATTTTCCAAACATCATAATATACAAAAGATACATAGATGATATTCTTATACTATGAAATGATAAGCCAAATATTTCTGCACTTGTTGATTCTATCAATGATAATCCATATGGCTTAACTGTGGAGATAGACCACGCTCATCCTACAGAAGCTCACTTCTTGGACATTAATATGAGGATAGAAGGATCAACCATCAACACAGAAGTTTATTGTAAATCAAGTGCTGAATGTTTATATATACTGGCAGGATCCTGTGACCCACCACAGTACAAGTTTGCAGCTTTCAATGTATTAATAAAGAGAGCCTATATGCACTCCTCATCACAAACAGCTTTCTGATCAGAAATGCAATGTCTAGAGCACATTGCCAAACAGCATGGTTATCATGGCATCATATGCAAAATGAACAGCAAATTACAACAAGAATCAAATCACAGCAATTGATCCAATGATACTCCTGTTAACAACATCTCAGTCACCTACAATCTAGTACTTAAAGCCATATACAACGAGATAGCTAAAAAAAACGAATATCCTCTTAACTTTTAGAAGGCGTGCTATGATTTTTGATATGCTAAGAAATGGAAAGGATACTCCAGACACAAATAAACTCCCAAGAGTATACATCGTCCCTATCATTGATCACAGGTGTAATAGAAACATGATGTACATAGTATCAACTAAACACACCCTTGAAACTAGGATTAAAGAACATAAAACAGATATCCTACACTAAAGAAACAACACAGTTCTAGCCGTATATTCCTCTGACCTGGATATAGAACCTATATTCCCTCCTATATTCCAATATAGAACCTATATATTCCAAAGGTCATACACACCATGTGCTGCACAGACCACCTCAGATGGCTTGAGGCAATATATATACAGGTATACCTCGCCTTACGTCGGTAATTGGTTCCAGGAAAACGACGTAAGTCGAATTTACTTGTCTCCGAATCTACTTATCACTAGGCTAAACCGTAAATTACCATTCCCGGTTCTGTATTTTATTTATTAATGCATTTTTAATAATATATGGTTAATAAAAATCTATTTTAAGCTTACAAACAAATAAATTTTAGTTTTTAATATAGTACAAAAAAAAGTAATCTAAATTTACGAATGCATGTACAGTACTGTAAATACAGTACATACTTGTATATATTTTAATATGATTTTATGTGCTTTAAACGTTTATCTAGTGATATTACGACTTCAGTATTTGTGGCGGACAGACGTAAAGTCGAATAAAATGACTTAAACTTGATTTTTATTTTTCCATATACTTTTTAACAAGCGACGTATAATCGGGAACGACGTAACTCGAAACGACGTAAGTCGAGGTATGCCTGTATATGCTTAAACATCTTTAAGACCAATAATTGTATTAATTACAAAGAGGAAACGGCTCTATCAATGGCCTTGCAGGCCATGATCAATGAAACTCTAAAATAACACAGCACCACTAATGCACAAATCCACAATGACGCTATCGGTTGCACGAGACAGTATGCCAAAAGATATTCCATAACAACTTTAAATTCGATTGGAAACACAAGGAAGTTCTGTATTGCCTGAAGAAGAGCCATAACGGTTCAAAAACATTTGCAATTACTTTATTATTTGGTTGGAAGGAGCTCACCGGTAAAAGGCAGAGAGGTACATGTATTATAAATACTCCGGTTTAGAAATTTCTAATTTGAACTTGAGACAGGAAAATGTTGTGTGTTAAGATCGAAAGTGCTCTTTTAAAAGCACTACCATTTTGTGAGATTAGCAGTGGGTCACTGGATAATCCCCAAATGACCATTTACTCTGCATGGGTTGATAAAACCCGATCTCGGAGTCTGTTGGATGGCAAGGAGGGCAAATTGAGTGGGGAGGAAGGTGAGCAAGTCGGCAGGTGTCCTTCTGAGACAGGAGACAGGTTCAACAAAAAAACAAAGCATTTATTATATAACTAAATAGTAAATACACAAGGCAATAACTATATATAGGTTAAATGCAGTTAAATACAACTAAGAGTAAGTTCGGATAACATACTATACTCCTTCCTCTAAGGGTTAAACTAAAAATACACTTAGGGAGAGAGAGAGACCAAAGCTCAAATAATTACCTCAAGGAGAGCTCTATGAGGGGCGATTAAGTGTTATGTGGAAGTTCCTATGGTCTTCTACCGTTATCTTCTCCTTTCGTTGTTTCGAGTCCGTTGTATGGAGGTCCAGGAGACGAGATGCACACGTCGACAAGTATAACTTCCGAGAGATTGCCTCGAGCTTCCAAGGATTCGAGCTTTTATATCATTCGCGTGGGAAAACTGACGCGTGATTGACTGTTTTTGACGATGACGGTGCATTCTTCACACTTAAGTGTAAACTTCCCCAGCTAGTTGTTATTACAATCGGTGAAATCCGATCTAGTTCAAATTCTTCGGGTTTTTTCTGAGGATATTTACAATTAACAGAAAATTTAGATTTTTAAGAGACCCATAAAAATCCGTGGGCTCACAATTTATATATACAGAATATTTGATCAATTTTTTATATCTGACAATTTCAGAGTAAAAAATCTCTTGAATGACTTGTAACTTTTATTTTAGTTATTTTTAAATAATTTTTATTTTATGAAATTTAACTTTTTTATATATGCTTGTAGTTTAAAAGTTAGCAAGTATAGTTGTTTTTATATATATAAATATCTCATTTATTTTGATGTGTGCTTCTTGTCCTTAATTACTTATATAATTAATACTTTTGTCCACTTTGGACAGTTTTGTGAACTAGGATTTGTTACAATGAGGAAGAGAAAAACACAATTTTCAATTAAAATTAAATATATTTTAATTGAAAATTGTGTTTATTTTCACTGAGTAACAAGTCCTAGTTTACAAGACTGTCCAAAGTGGACAAAAGTATGACAACTCATTTATTTGTATCTTTTCAAATTAATTGGAGTTTTTCTAATGCAGTTCCTGGAGATATATATTAAATCAATAAAAATACTAGAAAAATTGCCTTATGGAAAAATTTTGTTAAGCAATTTTTAACACTATATTTCATATTAGTTATAATTTTCAATTTTGTCGCAAATAGAAACTAAGCCTGTGTTACTCAAATTTATTGAAACATTCTTTTTATAATCCTTCATTTTTGTTTATCATTTATTTCTTTCAGTACAAATTTTATATACTGTATTATATATTCATGATACCGTGTTTCTCCAAAAATAAGACAGTGTCTTATATTAATTTTTGCTCTGAAAAAGGCGCTAGGTCTTATTTTCAGGGAATGTCTTATTTTTTCCAGGAAGAAGAATTCACATTTATTATTGAACAAAAAAATTCCCAAGTCGAACTTAGACGAGAGTGACGTATATCCGGTGTGTCGAACTGTCGCCTTTTTATAGCGTCA